TTTAATCAGTTTTTTATTTCTTCTTCTTATACTTAAGTGAAATTTATATATTTTAAACGTAGAGTCATTTAAGTACTTTAAGAAATAATTATACAAAATGACAGAAACATTTTTTACATCGCATTAATAAATTAAAATGTAAAGTCTGTAATATACGTTATTTTTTAATTTAATTGAGTAACTGTGCTCAAATCATACATTAAGAATTTTATAATCCCAACAGAAGATTTCATTTAAAGATTTTCTAAAAGGAAAGGATGTGTTTTCCGGCACACGCAGGGTTTTGAGGACAAATTTTCTCGCAATGCCTTTTTCCAACTTGCTTTCCATCCCACTCTCTCTTTGCCCACTCACGTTTCTTTCCTTCTCTCCTATCAACCTCTCTTCCGACGAACGGCGGAGGAGAGAACTGTAAAGCGGGGTCGTACTCTCATTTTCCTCGCGCGAGATGGAGAAATAGCAATCACAACGAGTGGAGCAATAGAAACCCTGATTTGACACGGAAAAATTTTCCTAGTTTCGTTTTCATTTAGTCTTTTTTTCTTCTTCATCAATATATCGATTTTACCTTCAGGCTAGTTAAAACATAATATTAATTATGAGATTAAATACCGTTGTAAAGAAGCCAAAATTACTGTTGATATGTAGCGGTACAGATGTATTAAATAAAATATTTCTGCAACATTTTGTGAAGAGAACAATTGTTTGTAAGAATTACTGTTATAATATTAGGTACTTCCGTCCAATATTAGTACTTGTAGAATGCGATTTTTATATTGCTATAAAATACGACGTTTTAATTATCGGAGCAATTACAGATCTTCTTTGCGACGATCATTGCCGAAGGTTTACGAAAATTTTCTTTTTCGTGGTGAACGGATCCCGCTGGAAGGAAATCGTCTTTGATCGAATTACAGCACGAAAGAATCTTTTAAAAGGATCCGTACAAGTAGCCCAGCATCCTGGAATGGACGAGATGGCGCACAAGCTGATAGATTTTGAACGTCGGCTTCGCAAATCCTCTGCGTATCGATGGGTCCTTGCAAATCCCCCAACGATCCTCGGGATGAATTTCGTTCGTCCCGGTTGGATCGATTGCGACCCGCCCGCAATGTCTGTTTTCACTTTGCCGGTAGATTACAAGTTGCTATCTCGAGAGAGTATTTACGAATTCGTGAGAAACTGGTTCATCCTCCTTTTCAATCTCTTTGTTTTTTTTTTCGACTTATGCAAAAAAGGAAGTGCAAAAGTGGCTTTGCCGCAAATTATTATTCTTGCCTTCTACTAATTTTTATTAAGTTCGCGAATTATTTAATCTTTTAGTATCTTAAAGAATCATATTTGTATTCTGATTATCTGAAATATATTACGTTCTTATTTGGAATAATAATGTTTCTAAAAAATGAATTTTACGGATTTGTCCAGATTTGAAAAATTGACCAAGTGATAGAAGAAAATTCTTTTTATATCAATTTTATCGGATAAATTTTAGAGTCACTTTTACTTATTAAATATAACCAAAATAAAATTTTTCCCTATAAATCCTTATTACAGACTTTTTGAAAAATCCAACTACCTAATATATATGATGTGGATATTGAACTATTGGAAAATCGGTTTGCAGAGACAATGTAAAGAATAAGTGTGTGCAGAGAACGGAAAGATGCCTGCCTGCAGGACAAGGTATTGCTGGCGAATGTGAAAAAGTAGGAAAATTGTATTGTGAACAAACGCGGTGGCGTGTTGCCGTGCATATGGCGCGCGTGACATGACTGGAATATTTCGTGCTGCTCACACATCGACGAAACCTCCTCGTCCTTTGGCCTATGTACGCGACCGCCATACAATTATGAACGGACTATGAATACGAACCAATCCCGAAAACATAACACGGCCATCTAATTGACCAAAGATTTCCTTTTTAGATTCTTGTCAGAAAGTCAGATTATTCTTCAGCTGATATTATCAGCTTTAATTGCTAAAATAGATTACTGAAATGCGAGGTTGATAAACTAACGAATGTTTTTTTTGGTTTGCCCTTGTATATTAAAATACAGATAACGAAGCAAGGAGATTCTTTTCACTAGAATGCTAGCATATGAAACTTTTTCTCAATTTTATTTTATACGTTAATAATTCACTCATCTTGTATAACAAATGTAATTGTAACATAATTCACAAACATAATTTTTAAAATTATCCGCCATTATTCCACCATCTGCTAAAAGCAATTTAATTGTTTATATAGCGTTTTATAAAAAAAGCAAATACGCAGTACGACATAAGCAGCTTGAAAAATTAAAATATTTTAACTTGATTAGCTAATTGACAACACAAAAAATAAGTTAATATATTAAATATTTTAAAATACACGATGTTCTTTTATAAGCTGTTTGCAAAAAAAGTAGGTATTACGCAAAATCGTGCTTAATCTACTGCAATAATCTCCTTTCTCACAATTTATATTTATTAAATGAAAACAATAAAAAAAGCTTAATAGGATGAAAGTAAAATAAGAAAGCGGATAAACTGACTGATTAGCTCTGCAAATAATTTTAGCGAAAATTGAAATAGGATTGAATAGGGTTCGCGTAATGGCTGTCATGAGAAGCGCACCGACTGCAAACGACGCGATGGCATCCTTATTATATTCGACGTACGTGCATCGAGGTTCCACCGTAAATCGAATCTTTCTATTATCTTCTAAGGTAGAGGTGTAGTGTGTCTCGTCTTGGTAAAGCATTTATTCACGACGAAAGAAAGTAATCGCCATAAAATGCATCTGCATTTCTCACCTTCATTATCCTATTTTTATTTCATTTCAAATAATATAAGCATCAGAAAATACCTAATGGACGCTTTTAATTCCACGTGGTGTTGAATAAGCTAATAGAACGTAGCTCGTAAAGAATGCTTGTAAAAATAAGGCAATTAAAGAGATCCTATTTGCGTTTACTTCGCATTTGCCTCATTTTTAAAAAATCAAATTAATCATGAATACTATAAGTAATGAGATCTGCTCTTTTTTTATTCACTTTATTTACATATCTTGGACAAATAAAACATACCGTAATTACTTTAAGCAAACGAATTATCGTGGGGCTAATATATAAACCAGGCTAATAAAAACCAGGAAATTGAATTTATCTTGATATGAAAGAGAAATATTGTTGATGGAAAGATACAAACTGAATAAAATAAATGGAATAAATTTTAACATGGAAAGAAGCTGTCAGTTCTACTTTATTGCACAAAAACCGTGTATTGTTTATCCAGAGTGAAATGTATATTTCAAAATAATTAAATCGTTGCTTCGATAATATGTGATAATTAAGCGTGAATTTCTAACGATGTATCCCGATGAAACACACCTTCTAGATAGAAAAGGATAACTAACTGAATCAATAATTAATGTACGAGCATAATCACGAGTAAAATGGTTGAAACGTTGGCAACCTGTAACTGTTTATTCAGAGTAATTATGGATGCGACTGAGTGGAGAAGGATTCTATCTGTTTTACGATAGCAAACAACAGAGGAGACGCGTCCCGCGAGATAAAGGCAGAATGTTAGATGCCACCAGGTTGGGACAGCATCACAAACAACGGAAGGCAGTGCGATAGTCTCGCGATTCGACTGATTATTCTACCGACGCGATCTCCGTACATATTTACCCAACGGAACTCTCTCTCTGGAAACTGCCGAGTCCCTCACATACTGTCATCTACCGTTAATCGACCACTCGTTGATTGATTATTGATTATCTGATTTTCGCGCGATAAATTTAGATGGAAAAGAATCTTTAAAAATAAATTCAAGATTTGTAGCATCAATTTGTAGCATATTTGTCAGTTAACTATTAGTAATTTTTCTCTCTTCTACATTGTAAATGATATAATAAAGATAAAATATAAAATAGTTTATTTTTATAAAATAAATAATCTAATATTTTTTAAGTCTGTAGTCGTGATAAAAAATTCTTTAGTTCTTTAAAATGAAATTTTTTTGGAGTTTCTTTTTATCCAAAGAATCATCATTTAGCAATAAGAAAGTACTATTAATTAAATGTCTAAAAAAATTTTTGAAATCTAAATTGATTTTATATTTTAAGAGAATATTTGTAAAAAGAGAAAAATTACGTGAGAGATGTTTATGTGATGAGATATTGTATAAAAATGTAGGTACGTTCGAAAACATATTCGAAATTTCGGAAGGAGCCTGCATCCGTATTGATAATGAGAGGCGTCGCGGTACATCGCGGTGGAGAACAATGATGTAACACCATGCATATAATGTAATCTGTGCATAATTGAACGTAAACACGCCGATAATTTGAAGCGGCAATAGCGAACGGACGATGGCAGAGGGACAGAAGGAAAACAGTCATCACGCGGTTACATGAGAATATTCCGCGCCACCAACAAACGAATAATTGCCTTTGCTGAACTTGCATCCTTGCTACGGGCTGCAGTTAATGAAGCTAAGCACCCACGGGAGCGAGAAGCATTATCATTTTAACGAGCCGCGATTGAGGGACACGGAACAAAAGTGAAATAAATCCATAATTGTGAACGGTGTTACCCGAAAATTAGTTAACTCATCAAATACTCGTAGTAGCTTGGAGTAAATGTAAACGTGGAATTTTACGCTATTGACCTAGCTATTGACAATGAATGAATTTTACAATATTGGTCTAGCTATTGACAATAAATGTACTGACAATGAAATTTATTTTATAAAAAATGTTCTAATTGTGATAACTTTAAGCAATATGAAAATGGAATTGATTTTATGAAATGCAAAGCATAAATTAAATTTATAATTCTTTTGTATTTATAATCATTATATAAATCTCAGTTAAATCACGATTGCGAATATAATGTATAATAAATAACAAAAAAGAATCTGAAATCTTAAATTCATTCATATCTAAGTATTATGCACAACGGATATTACAGTTTCTATAATTTTATATATTTAATTACAACAGTTTTGCTTACCTGAGGATAATCGCCGTCTTTCATCTGATAGTCGAACACATAAAAGTAAGTCTTGGGCATGGGCTCCTCCTCGCTATCGAGGATCGGTGCAATGTGAGGATTGTTCGGTTTTTTGGTGTGCCTCAAGGTGAAGAGATCTCCGGTTTGTACGAGCGGCGCCACGAACTGCGCGTCGCTCAACGCCTGCACGCACGCATCCTTCGTGTTGACAGGATGTTGAACTGTTCGCTCCCAGTCAGTGTATTCATTCACCACCTATAATATACAAAAAGAATTTCAAGTCTATTATTTACGTAGACGTTACAAGACATTATTAGAAAATTAAAAGTGACTTGTTTGTCTTTTCTGTTGGGACGATTGTTGTTTTCAACTTTTAAATGATTAAAAGCGCATTCCTAAAAAATTTGTTAACAATAGATTTTCAGTAAAACAGTATATTGATAAATGACTTAATTGAAAAATGAATCAAATTTTTTTTGAAAATAGTCTTTGATAAAATCCTAACTAATTAATTTTTAAATTAAACCCCTTTGCAAATTTTGTACATAATATCGGGCTTGTTTTTCGTCGATGTTGCATACAATATCAGCAATGCGTTTAAGCGTGCTTTTATCCCCTATATTGGCGCTCGTAAAAATATATTGTCGCAGTCATAATTATTTAATTGGCTATAATCATTAAGTAATGCCTGGTTTGCGTCGCTTCTGCGTGGACCGATAACGCCGACCAAATGGAATTGCATCGTCGGTATATTTCGACAAAATGCAATGCTCGCGATTCAATCGTTGTGTGGAACGTAACAATTACGTCCTGCAATAAATTCCGCGCGAATGCAACGATATACGCGCCGCAAATATGCGCGGCACGTCACATATCTCTGGCAATAAATATAACTTATTCTTACTTTTCAGAAATTGCGATATACTACTTAGTTTATTACTTAGATTTCTCTGTCGAGAAATTCAAAGTTTAGATTTTAGATTAAAAAATACTAGATGTTTTTATCTAATAGGATTTTGAAGTTTTAAAAATCGGAGAATAGATCTAGGTTATAGATTCAAACTTTTAATTACATAAAAATTTCATGATTAAAAAAATGTAAGGATAAAAACCAATACATGTTAAGATTCAGTTCACGCGTTTTCAAAAACGTGAATGTTGTGATATTATAAGAACAGTAAAAATTATGTGATAATAAGAATAATATGGAAAAATTAAGAGAGTATTTTTTATTTTATGTTATGAAAAATTGCTATGATTGTGCAGCTATTATTATATGAAAGTCATATTATTTAATTGATTAAATAAAGCACAACTTACCGTATAAAATATTTCAGTGAGGTGATAGACGTAAGCATTTCTCACATATGTGCGAATGATTCTGTCTCTCCTTTCTCCCTCGAAACCTTGCAGGACATCCTTTTCCGCAAACTTCCATAAAGCTTCACTCGTTGTCACGCCGAACAGTAAATCATATTTATTGTTGCTCGTGATTGGTGCACCGTGTTCAGCTTTTTTGGAGAGAGGGCTATAATCAATCGTTATTATAATTTTATTTCAACAATCATAACTTTATAATTTAAATAAATTTATTTTTAATATAGAATATTTCTATTATTATATTTGCTATATGTAAAATATAATATTAAAAATAGAGAATTGAAGAAAATTGAATAGCAGATTAAAATTTCAAGAAAATAAATTGATGGAAAGTAGCAATTAAGAAATCACAATTTTATTGTAAGAATGTTAGAAGATAATGTTAATAATTTGAATAATTGGGATACGGAAATCATTAGAGCACCAGGTAAATCTGAAAATTTCGGTTTGCGCGATTGCAGGTGGAAAACGTAACTTGGTTGGAAGTAAAGATGATAACATGAACTCGTTCCATAGTTTCCGGCACGAGCGTGGTGCGATCTTCGATTGTAAGTATGCTAATGACGTTGTAGAGTTGGGGCAGGTCGTTTACAATCGCGTTAATGAACCACGCTAATGTTCGCGGTGGAACCGGCTCGTTTAGCTCCCTTTTTCCATTTAACGAGAAAACTCCGGGATCCGTCAGACGGAAGACGGAAGGCGGAATTATTGTGGAAGCCGACGTTAAGTACGAGACCCCTCTCTGGGCAAGAAAGCAAAGCCGAGCCCGGAAGTGCACACATCAAAATAACTTTTCCGCCGCTTCACGGATTTCCTTTGCCGCCGCGAAAGAAAATGTAGAAATATACGCCGCATTACCATAAAACTCTATTAAGCCCGTTCTACCGGAATCCGAGGATTTTCCCCTTTTCCCTCTTTTTCCTCACCATGTCTCCAGATTTTATCCTTTTTCCCATTTGCACTATGACCATATCCAAAATGGCACTAAAAGTTCGCTGGGCGTGATTTTATCATATTTTTGGTTCTATATTGATACAGTTAACAGAAATTGAGAGGAAAATCTCGAAACATTTATTGATTTAGAAAAATTCAAGAATTTTGGAATCTAAACAATTTTTTCACAACTAAGAAATAAAGTAGAATTTCTTAGTGTTTATAAAAAAAATTCGTTTAAGAGTCACAAAATCATAAAGCAATTTGAAAATTAAAAATGAATAGATTCTAGATACTTACCCGAATCCTTGAAACTCAGGACCGAGGTAGGACAGAAGATCCTTTTGAAAATCTGGCTTGATGACGACACCATCGACACTTGGACCGAACGCACTAAGAAACGTCGGGGGCTGAATGTTGACTTGCATCAGTTCTTCCAGACTGCTCTCCCTCAAACAATCGACTATAAGCTCATTATCTTTGAGAAGATCGTCGGGAATGGAACAGTTGACAGCCTTAGCTAATTTCAGAGCGTAGGATACAGGATCTTCCACCACGGCCCAGGATGAAAGAGCGCTACCCGACAGTAGTATAGCCCGCTTGAATAATCCTGCAAATAAAAACAATGTTTCGCGATTATTTTCTCTTTTTCAGTTATGTGTATCTAGCTTATTACTCATTTCTATTTAATATTTGAATTTCAAGGTAAATAAAATTTTTAAATTCTTTTGACTTAAGGTTTTAATATTTAGAATATTTTAATTTTTTAATGCTACAATTTTCCAGTTTTTAAATATTTTAATAAGAATATTTCATTTGAAAAAATTTTTAATTATTTTTTTATCTTATTTTACGATTTATTTTACAATTTTTTCCGACTTGTGTATATCCTTCGACGATCAAATCTTTGGTGCGTGTTATTTTGAATCGTTATGTCTGATGCTAGGAGGAAGCGCAGCAATTGCGACGCTGAATATTATACGAGTGGATTGTTTGAGGAGGAAATTATGCCGACGAAAATGGCGCCGCGAGTGGATGGGAGACGTCGTTACTCTTAGTGAGAAAAGAAAGACAAACCAAAGTCGTGCTCTCAAACCTGAAGAAAGAGGTGACCGACGACCCATAATTATCCGAGAAGAAAATCATTCTCGCGCGGAGTCACATTATTTGCCTAAAGGAAAAACGGGATGCTCCGTTTTGTACTTTAAGAAAGAATTTTCAATCTCCGCTGCGCTCGTTGTTGACGCCATTAACTCGTCAGTGGTCGCATTATAAGCATCGCACTAAGATAAAAATTATTTTCTTCTTGTGCATCAAATTACTATCTTCTTCTTTTTTCCGTTTCACAAAACATTTTTTGCAACTTTCATCCATTTGCGACATTTACTTATCAAAGTACGTTATTTAGGCTTTAGACTTTCAATTGTAATTAAAAATTTTTTTTAAAATATTCGCATTATTATTTTAAACAATTACAATTTCTCTCCAAAATTTGCAAGAATTGAGTTTTGTTATTGAATCTAATTGTAGGAATATTTCTCTCCTCCCGGAACTGTAAAAGATGTATTTCTCAATTTTAAGATAAAAAAGATACCGAAATAGGATATTCTGTACTGCAAGATGTTATGCTTCGATTGTCTCATTAACTTATCGAGTAAAAGTAACATATCAAGGAAATTAACGTAAGAGTGTTAGCGAAAGAGAAAGGAGCGGGATGAAAAATGAGAGAGAGGGAGAGAGAGAAGAGGTTTTTAGAGGGTAAAAGCAGGAAATAACAGGACATCGTCGCGTCTCAAGACAGCCGCCTTGGAAAAATGGAATTCTCATTTCTATCCTCTGTGATACGGGAAAGAATGAAGCATCCATGGAGCTAGGATGGTGAGAGAAAAGTCGGCATGCCAAGATCCTTTCTGATCGGAGAGATCCTTCCGTACGCAAACAAATAAAAGGAAATGATGCCTTTCCTCTCGAGAAACAAACAAGTACAAGCGTTTTAAATAATAGAATTGGCAAACAATGCGAATTTTATTCAGCGAGAGAATTTCACGACATTAACGTCGGAATACCGAGAGGAATGACGCCATAATTCTGATGGTTAATCGCAAAGATGGCAAAAAGGGATCAAAACCTTTTTCTATTTTTCGTAAATCTTGAATTGTGTACGGTGATTAATATTTTACAAATTCACTATCATCTTTCATATTCGTAAAATCCACGTTGATTTAATCACTCATTCTTCCGCAATAGATCGACAACTCAAATCTTCTTCGAGCTACTCGATTGCGCAATTATTTGAGTAATTTCTACTGTTTAAGATATATCACGCTTTTTTAATTAATGAAATCAAGGAACTAGACGAGGAACGTAAAAGAACCGCGACGTATAAAAAGCGGGGAAAGGAAAAACTCCCATGGCTTGGGCACGCGTGGATGGCTGCGCTCTCCTTATAAGGGAGGAAAGTATTTTCCAATAGCGCCCACGACGAAGGTGGCGTCGGGTAGGAAGGGACGATATTTCACGCACATAATATCACGAGCGAAGGAGCGAGATGGAGCAGGGATGAAAAGAGGAAGACGGAAAGAGGTAAAGAGAGATGAGGTGGCGGGAGGGAAGGGGAGGGCGCCTCCCCTTATCCTCTCAGCCGTGTCCATCGCCGGGAGGAGGGGGCTTGCAGGGGCTGTTAACCGTCGAACGTTAACCGTGAGCACGACCACGAAGATGGTCTACTGCTGCTGTTACTGGATGAAGATATAAAGGGAGACAGCCAATATCCTCGGCAATGTGTTACCGCGCCGATCCGCGCGTGTTCGTCCTCGAAAATATCGCGAACCCTGCAAAAGAGACTGGGAAGGGGGATGGGTGCGGATATCGGAGAAAGAAATTTCGAGCTGATATTCTTGCTGGTTTAAGCTACTTCTCATTTTCTAAACTCGTCTCTCTCCTTTTTCCCGAGAGTGAGGTATGCGTTATGAAGATATGGCGATTCTCTCGCGACAGATGGCATACGAGTGACGAAGTTCTCCGCGGAGTATTCCGATCGTTAGACCTTGAGGTTTTCAGCAGATTTTCTCTGCTCTTGAGATTCCAGGAAGAATCTCCGCATTCTCCTCCGCGATGACATGATATAATTTTATGGTAAAGTAATATGCGGAATATTAAAACTCATACGTGAGAGGATGTGTTTGCATTTTTAAGTTCACTGATACCTGACTTTCTACATTTGTATTCAAATTTTGAAGACATAAAATATGTAGTTTTTAAGATTTAAATAAAAAATATTGCATTATGTGATTATTTATGAATAAAATTGAGAACCTCTGCTTGTTTCAATTCAACTAGTTTTATCGTGAGAAAGTAACGGAATTCTTACAAAGACGAGCTCGACACGCATAAGCTCATTTCGCCTTCTCGTCGAAGATCTTGTTAACGGATTCGGCTGCAATTCGACAGATCGATATAAATTCCTGCAAGCTCGTAAGTCGATCGAAGAAAATTCATTTTAGAGAAGGAGGAAAATTCTCCTATCTTCGTCTTATTTGTGAATACATAATTGACGTAATGCGTAATTACGTATTAACTAACGCGAAATAACGCACTGTAACGAAACTCATGTAAAACTTGCTACTCTTCAATTATATGTGTAATGCGAAAGCGCTTTTAATCATTTATGAGACGCGCGGGCGCGGCGTGTTCTCTGAATAATTGCGAGCGCAACATGGCAGCGAACGGTTCAGAAATTTCGACTGGCTTCGTTCTCGAGAAAATTTATTAATTACGCGCGCTCGTTTGAATTTTACAATCTACAACTATAATCGCTTTTAACGAAATACCGCTTTTTCCGAGTTTACCGCGTGTTAGTTTATATATATAAGCTCCCGCAAATGATGTATGTTTTTCGTCCAGTTGATATATCATTCCAACTACGTTGGAACTCTCATCATGTTAACTCAACAGCTTTTAATCACTTACCCCGAATGACGGTGGGGCTAATGGCGAGAAAATGCACGCATGCGGCTCCGGTGCCCTGGCCCATGAGGGTGACATTTTCGGGATCGCCCCCGAAACGCGCGATGTGCTCCTTAACCCAGTGCAGGGCAGCGATTTGGTCCATGAGGCCATAATTCGCGACCCTCGCCTTAGTCTGCGGCGCCACGTTGGCGTTCAGGAAGCCGAGCACGCCCAACCGGTAGTTCATGGTGACGATCACTTGGTCGGTGTAGCTCGCTAGGACGCTACCATCGTATGGGTTTCCGCTGCCCCAGTCGTAGCTCTCGCCGTGAATGTACAGCAACACCGGATGCTTCCTGCCGCTCTCCGCCGTGCCTGCGACACAAAGGGATCGCGTCGCGACGCGACGCGACGCGTCGTTTTAGTTCCTCTTTTGCCAACGGCAAGCTGAGGTGACAAAGACGACGGTGCCGGGCGTTGTCGGCGCCCCATCGTCTTCTTTGTCACGAACATGTCGGGAACACGAAGCGTCTACCTGCCGAAGCGGCTCGTATCCGGACATGACCCGGTATTGTCCCATGTTCCGGACAAAATGCGGACCGTGTTGAGCGTTGCGAGATTATCGAATTTCTTTCAACTATTACCGTATAGATAGTCGCATAAAAGAGATTTTTTTAAATCAAATAATTTTATGTTACATTAATTTAAATAATAAAAATGTACAGATACCTTTTTAACTAAAGCTTTTTTTTATTTTAATTAAATTGGAACATAAAAATGAAACTACAAGACTCATCTGAACATTACATAATATTCAATATATTACTATTTTTATGGCTTTTAAAGTATATTTGTAATATATGGAATATTCGACATCTTATTTCATTCTTCTAGGGCATAAAGTCTTGAAAATTGGTAGGAATGAGACATGAAATTATCGAGCCGTAAAATTACAGAGAACCGCACTCGTACCATCTTGCAAAGCTTTACGACAGCGGTTTCACTAATGCGTCCTTCCTTTCGAAAAGAAAGAAAAGAAATAATATCTTTGTCTGTATGAAGGAATTATTTGTCATTTAAGTAAGAGTTTTAATCTTAGAAAAAGTGTAATAAAATATGAATACGAACTAACGCTGTTACTGTATTCGATATGTATAATTTACAAATTTCTTGAAAAATTCGGAACCAAAATTTTTTTAATTTTTAGAAAGGAAGCAAGACTAACAGATATTTAAGTTTTTCAGAAAATGTTTTAGAGTCCTTAGTTTATAATGACTTTTAGTTTTATTTCTTTATACTTTTTTTACATAAATTGACATTCTTTGAAAAGTTTCGCAACTATTTCTTCCCTCTGCTCTTCTTTTTTCCTTCCACTAGACGCGACTTTCTGTCTGACTAGACACACGGTCAACATCGCTCTTTGTTTCGATAAGAGCCACTTCCGTTTTACTTTCGCGATCATAACGACGAGAGTGGCGCGGCGGAGTGATGTGGCAAGTGGTAGGTCCATATTTCGCGATAAGGAACGTCCCCGAAGAGTCCTTCGATGAAAGAAATCTACAATTCCGATGTTCTTATTGTATGCACTTCCCGCCGTTGTCCGCGCATGCACAAGATTCAGAAAATGTAAGAAAGAAGTTTACCTTAGTTGAGAATTTTACTTTCTAGGAAAGCAGATTTCGGAACACAATTTTCGAAAAACATGTACTTCCAATTTCTTTGTCGTCAGTTTTATGTACTTGGCATTAGCGCGTTTTTTAATCGAAGATTAAAAATAGAGATCCTAAACATTTCTACTTTTAAATTTAATTAGTCTGATTAATGGTTACACTTTGCGTAGCTGACTCACAAACGCGATTTTTTTTATAAAAGAGATGCTTCAAAACGTTATCTGTTCTTTCGTTGGAAGTTTACTTAACATGGGATTTTCTCTCTTTTAATTTATCCAGCGGTCCCTTTTATGCAACTGCAGAAATATCTTTCAAATTTTCATCATTTTTTTTCGCAGACCTTGATGCTTACCGGGTAAGTGTACTTCGGTATCTTACAATTAGTATTGGAATAGGTCTGGAGATTCTCTGATCCGTCGAGAAAATTTTTCCCTAACCCACACACCCTCCGATTCTCCCCAACCTCCGCCGAAATTATCTCAGAATCTTAATCAGGTAAGTCTTCCGTCTCAAAGTACTTCGCAAGTTAGCAGCGTATTTGCCGAGACTCTTTATTCGGATTAATGCAGATCCATTTTAAATCCGTTTTCCTTCACCGCGCACACAGAATGTCTCCCGCGATACTTGTAACGAGAATAAACTGCATAAAAAGTATTCTAAAAATTTGTACAAATATACTAGAAAATTTGTGCCAACTCTTTTCCCAGATATGTTTAAAAATACGTTTCTTATAATAACCCAGTGTTTCTAACTGCGTCAAATTATGAAATAAAAATGTGCAGATTGCTAAATTATTATCCAAATTGTAAAAGTAAATGTAATATGTCTGCAAGCATAAAAATTAAATTGAAGTAGAGAAAAAATATGAATTTACTTTCTGAATATGAACATTGTGGGCATTTTGTTTCACATGGTTTATGTATCATAGTCGTTCCGGATCGTGGAAAAAGATTTATACATATAAATTGTATAGTACATATACATGTGCACGCGAGCCCGTTGTAAATATAGAAGCTTAGATAAACGAGCTGCGAATACAAAATTTTTCTCGGGCATTTGGTAGCATGTTGTTACAGTTGCATTAACGTATTAATGTAAAAATAATAGAAAAGTATATTTCTCCAAAAATCGTGTCTTTTGAGCTTTCGCGGATGGCGGTGAATTAATGGTAGGTGGGGCAGGCATTAATCGGAAGCGAACTGGAGATAAATTCGGCGATTGGACCAACGAACCGTTGCACTCGAACGTTTCGAAATGGCTGCGACGCGAAAATGTTTAACGTTTAATGCCAAAACTCGATATTACAGCGAGCTTTCTGCATTTGCTGGAATACTCGATAAATCCCGTTCGGAAAATAGATTAGCGCGATAGGTCATCAACGAGACTTCTCACGACATGCGCGCATTGGTATCAATTTATTCATCCTCCCCGCTCAACCTCCCTTATCCTCCCCTCTGCCCCTCCCCCCTCCCGTGATCAAAACAACGGATGTCAAACATGCCTGAAATAGTTTCAACTTTGTCTCCGCAGGCTTTGCATAATATGCATCGACATGGTGCTCGTTAATTAACGTTGCCAGATGAGTTAATATTAACGAGCGTCGATAATCGTAACGCTCTGACGTTGACTTTCAATGGTCTTTTATTATTTCGAAGCGTAACGCGTTATCAGAAATTGCTTTACGCAAGATATATTTTGACGGTAAAATAATAAAATAATTGATACGATCCGTCTAAATCTGACATATAATCTGATGTAATGATGGGTGTAACATATACGCGCAACGATTTATAGAATTGCACGGCACGCCCATTCCTCTGTAAAATAGTAGTAATCCGAGTTTAAAAGTCAAAGGGCGAATTTGTTAGCGTAACAATACGTCGCCGCGGGGTCGACCATTTTTGCAATGATGTTATTCGTCCATCATCGGAAATCCGATTACTCAGTCCCGCTTTACCCTCTGCTTTCGGAGTATCATTTTTAGCTCGTTATTGTGACAATCCTGCATGTAAAGCTCAGTTTATACCGTCCACTCTTGATCATCATCCACATCATCCATAAATTAATCGATCGACGAAAAGAATTGCGAAAACAGAGGAAGGCTTTTAAATATATAAAAGTGTACATTTTTATCTGATATAATAATATATTTACTAATTCTTTACATGAGTTTTATTAATATCAAGTAACTTTTATTTTGCATTTTATTAATACACAGTCAAAAAAAAATTATTTTTTTCCAGATTCCCAAATATTTCCTTAGGTTTGAGACATTGCAATCGCAATGGCTAATAGATGAGGATAAATGGGGTCATTATCTGAGGTGAACAGTGTAAATTCGGTGTGTAACGTGGATCAATTATTGCTGGCGATATTACGAGAGATTGCGTAGCTGTAACGTAGTGAAACTTGCAGGCGGCTTCAGTAACTTTATCGCTCGCGACTCATTATGCACAAACAGAATCAAAAGTACGTAATTACATCGCGAACTTTACAGTGCAAACTGCGACGGGCATAATCCGCACATAATGTGCGCAGTACGTGAAAGCAAATTAATTACTTCGTTCGTCGCAATATCGCCAGCAAGTTTGTAAACGCGTGGACAAAGCTTGGCTGTGCCAGATTTCGTTAAGTTTTTAACAATAACTAATTTTGTATCGCTTTTTTATTTAAGGCCTTTGTTATTTTTTAAATTATTGACTCACTTTGAATCTAAAATTAATAAAGCACATTTTAAAGAAATTAATCTCTAATCATACATATGAAGTTTTATTTTAGTCCAAACTGCATGACATTTTAAGAGTTGGCTATATTTTAGATTTATTTTCATAATTAATCTGTGTGTCGAGATTACGTTTGATATTTACATTATTGAAACATGAATAATCGAGAAGAGCCTTATTCAATTAAAGCGGATCTTGATGTTTAACAATATTTTGGCGTGAATTTAAATACATATTCACTTATTGTTCGTTAAAATAAAAATGAGACATTGTAAATGATAAAAAAGATATTTAAAAAATTGTACTTTAAGCTTTATCAAAAAAAGTAATAAAAATTTAAAATTTAATTCTATTCAACATAAAAGTTTATTTTAAATAAATTATTAGTGCTGCTGAAATAATTATTGAATAAACTATATATTTATTAATAATTATAAGAATAAATTTTGGACAATGTGATCATATTTTTAATAAAAAATAAACTTTAAAACACAAAATAATGTAACTGAAACAAATTTTAACTTACGCAATCCTCACTCGATTATTTTAATTTATAATTTAAAAATAATTTTTAATTCTTAAAAAATAACAACTTATTAATAAAGTAATGGTAATATTAAGTAGAATATTAAAAATAAATCTCAACATGCAAGAATATCTTGATATATGAGATATGTGAATTTTACCTTGTTTATTATGTAAATATTAAAGCAATAAATAGTTTAATTTCTGTTGGAGTAATAATTATTATTATTACAAAATCCGAGTCTGCATGTTAGTGTAAATTAAGCAAACGACAGGTCAACAAAACGCTTTCAATATAAATTATTACGATTGCATCTCGGGAGACTGACGTCACAGTCGGTGTCGCTTCATCAATAAATTTCATTACGTTCCATCGCTTTAAACCATTCGCATCATTCCAAGCATACTTCAATACACTTATATTAATAAAATCTTCTAAAATGTGATATGAATTCTC